TTCAAACGTGTTTCCACTTCAACCCCGACGGCATGGACAGAATTGGGGGGGAACTTTGGAGAAACAAGATTGTGCAGAGTCACAGTGTCTGCATAGATCCCAATGAAGCCATAGTTCAAGGAGGCTTGGGGAAATAAGCTGCATTCCCGATTCTGCCCTGAACTTCAAGCCAGGCTTCGCAAGAACTCGACAGATGCTGCATCGAACAAGGCGGCTTCTGAACTCGCTTGGCTGGAGCCTGCTTGTCGATACTCCGAATCTTGATGCACCTGCTACAGGATTAACGTGAATAGTCTGATTGACTTATAGACTCTTTCTTTAAGTTATATACTTAATCACTTACAATTGAGAGATCTTCCGGAGCTGGCCTGAGGTGGCGCCCAGCATGTTGCCCCGGTCTCAAGACACATCATCCCGTAAAAGGATCTCTTGCGGCCTCCGCCTCTGGAAGCATCCACTGCGATGCACAACCTTTTGCAGCCTCGGAAAGCCGCACGGCTTGCCATAAGATACTTGGCCCGATCATTACGAAGATCCCGATGGCTCAACCAAGCCTTGGCCCTCTGGGCAGCAGCACGAAGCACTGCAGCCTTCTCGGACTTGTTCGGAGCATCTTTGCTCGCATGTCGCAGAGACTTCTTCCGTGCTGACCACGCTTGCTTCAAAGCAAACTTACGATCAGCAGGGTTCTTCGAACGTTTCTGGCTGAACACCAGGTCATCAGGCTCTTCCGGAAAGGACCGGACCATGCAATCTTGCTCAATCCGCTCGCAGAGCCCTTGACAGACTTGCCACAGTAGCCAAGCCAGACCTTCACATTTATGCAGCTCCACCAAGACATCCAGTAAAGTTGCTTCCTTTCGCAAAGCTGGTGGCAGACGCCGTTTCTTCCTGCTGCAGGTAATTAAACTAAGGAGAATCAACGGGGCAAGGGAAAACAGATAGATACCGACACCTTCCCCACCTCTCTTCTACGCTATTGGCAACGTGTCTCTGAAAACACCGTCCCTGGCATCATGCCCGGTTTCTGGCCTGTTCGGATGCTGCTGGAGTCTGTTGGCAACGTGTTCATCGTTTTCACATTGGCCGAGATTCAGCTTGCCACACTTTACCTCAACGTGAACAGCCCTCCCATCTTGCACATCCAGCGGTGTTCCTGCTGCCCCATCTATTGTGATGCTGAAGGTTCCCCTGCAAAAACTGTCCAGGAAGTTGCTTGCCACTACAGCCGCCCGCTCCAGCACGGACTCATGGCCTTTCATGGCCTGCACTAGCAGATACTGAAGCAAGAAAAGGGTGCTGCAAAAGACCCGATGCATTCGTGTCGGCCCGGCTTTGTCTCCAGAGGATTGTTGTGGCCACAGAAAATGATCTCGAGCAGACCCACATCGCTTCTCAAACATCGGCACCCAAACTTGTCGGAGCTTGTTCCGCAAAAAACGGGTCATGTCTCGGTCCTTGCCTCCAGGGATGGCCGGAACGAAAGCTTCCAGCTCCCAAAAGATTCTCTGCTTTGTCGATGCCACAGGACCGTTGAAGACAACTGCTGTAGGGCTGAGGAATTCTCCTGCACTTCCCGTTTGAATGACCTGCTGGCATGCCAAGGCTTAGTTAAAGCCCCAGTCGACGTTTTACGGACCCTTGATATGAACCGACAATCGCTCATGTGCTAGGCCTCTTTGACGTATGCAAATTTCTTTTGCTTCTGGTAGTCTTCCAGCCACAGAAGCTCCACTCCATCCTGATGCAGCTTACACACGAACTCCTTGCCCTCATGTGTCCGCCACACGGACCACGCCAGCATGGACCGGCACCATCGTGTCTGACCCTGGATGGAAACATAGCCGTGCTGGCCAGAAAAGTGCAATGACATTGGCTGCTCCGACACAAAAATTTCCCCAGTGTACTTGTTCTGAAGCATATGCATGCCTTCAATTTGGCTCAAGGACAACATCTGTCTGTGGCTGCATTCTTGGCAGCTTTCATCGTGTCTGGGATCAGGAGGACGCATGGCACCAGGATCCACAAGACAAGTGCGATAG